TTTTGATTTTGCCACAACATGTGTTAATGTTGCAAGCTGTTCTGTGAAAGAGTTGGTTGGTTAGGCTTGCTTCAGACTGACTGGCGCTAGGATCTGATTTGGAATAAAACAGGCAAAAAAACAATGTCTTTACAACTAGCTTAAAGGCAGGGTAAGCGATTTCTGGTAGCCAATGTTGATATTTGAAATCACCAAAACAAACATGCCCCTACCCCAAAAGGGTCTTGCCCCTATTTTGGTAGCTCCGCCCCACACATACGTACGCAACCCAGGCAACGATTAGTTCTGTGAAACAAAGCAAAACCAATGTTACACCGTGTCTACATCGGACGTGAGCGGCACGGCGCAGGCCTCCGCTCCTTGAGTTCTTTCCAGCACTGGAAAGCTGATCCAATATTTACACGGGTCCTACTTCTTGCCTTATCGTTCCGCAGACATTTTCCTCTTTTGTTTTTTATCCGCCATCTCTATCCTTCGTTCTTTCGGCTCGCTAATGTCCGTCCCATGCACTGAAAGCTCTCTCCTCCACATCATGAGTAGACACACCCCTTATTGCTGGTTGGCTACAAGTTTGTTTTGCTATTCGGCCCGAATCAGTTTTCTAAAGTGTTACATACCCTGCCTTTAAACAACTGTCACTACAAAAACAAACTCTTTGTTTTATTTTTTTTATTTTCTAACAGAGCTGCTGGTTCCACTGCAATTTGGGACATTTTGAGAATGGTGCATTGGCCTATTGTAAAATTGACCTGTGTAGTGCTGCAGAGGATGCATATAAAGGTTGAGTGGCGGAGCTTGTCCCTGGAAATGAGAAGCTGCCTCATAGGGGATCGGAAGAATGCTCCTGAGACCCTCAAATATTTGTCCTACCAGACGTTCAGTTGAGCGAGTGCTTTCTTCCAGAAAATAACATCTGTAAATAACATCTCGTCGCGTTGTTGATTTCTCTCTTGGTGTTGTTCAATTCTATCCAAGAAGGATCTTTGTTCAGCTGCAATGTGCAATAGATTGGCATGACCAGAAGAGAGTTTTCGTGATGAACAGAAAGATTTGCATTATTCCCGGTAAACCTAATGCAAAGGTTATATTGCTTAAACACCAAAGCTAATAGATTTAAAAAAATAATTAAACATGAAGTAAAAGATGTTCCCTTTCAAAGGAACTTCAAACTGCGTCCTCTAGGGGTCGCTATGGGGGAACGCCTTCAGCGTGACCAGTGTATAAAGCATACATCTAAAAACGACAATAACATTGGCCGGCGACAGCATATGATGTCATTACCCTGCGCGATCACAGTATAGAAGGGCGCCGGGATAACACTTCATCCTCTTCTTCATCTTCACAGACCGTTTGTTTATGTTAGTGTTAAGCTAAACATGACTAGGAGTGCATGTTTTCTCGTCAGAGGCTTTGCTCCAATACCTGCAGTTCCAATACTTCTGTGTATGTGGTGAAGAGCAAGCACGTTCAGCTCTCGAGGGAGTTGGATGCGCTCTGCATTTATTGCTTATTTCTTGTGAGGCATGAATTAAATGCGCTCGTCTCACGAGGAGATGATTCTCGTCAGAGGCTTTGCTCCAATACCTGCAGTTCCAATACTTCTGTGTATGTGGTGAAGAGCAAGCACGTTCAGCTCTCGAGGGAGTTGGATGCGCTCTGCATTTATTGCTTATTTCTTGTGAGGCATGAATTAAATGCGCTCGTCTCACGAGGAGATGACTTGTGCTCATCGTGATGCATTCGCGGGACTACTGAGGGGGAGGTGAGTACTTCACCATTTATCCAAGTTGGTAGATAGTGTTTGCATGAGTGCGTTCGCCTCTCGCGGGAATAATGACGTGACATGTGGCCAAGTATGGTTACCCATACTAGGAATTAGTGCTCTGCATTTATCCCATCCTAAGTGCACACACTCAGCAGTGAACACACACACACACACACACCGTGTACACACACCCGGAGCAGTCATTTATGCTGCAGCACCCAGGCAACGATTAGTTCTGTGAAACAAAGCAAAACCAATGTTACACCGTGTCTACATCGGACGTGAGCGGCACGGCGCAGGCCTCCGCTCCTTGAGTTCTTTCCAGCACTGGAAAGCTGATCCAATATTTACACGGGTCCTACTTCTTGCCTTAGCGTTCCGCAGACATTTTCCTCTTTTGTTTTTTATCCGCCATCTCTATCCTTCGTTCTTTCGGCTCGCTAATGTCCGTCCCATGCACTGAAAGCTCTCTCCTCCACATCATGAGTAGACACACCCCTTATTGCTGGTTGGCTACAAGTTTGTTTTGCTATTCGGCCCGAATCAGTTTTCTAAAGTGTTACATACCCTGCCTTTAAACAACTGTCACTACAAAAACAAACTCTTTGTTTTATTTTTTTTATTTTCTAACAGAGCTGCTGGTTCCACTGCAATTTGGGACATTTTGAGAATGGTGCATTGGCCTATTGTAAAATTGACCTGTGTAGTGCTGCAGAGGATGCATATAAAGGTTGAGTGGCGGAGCTTGTCCCTGGAAATGAGAAGCTGCCTCATAGGGGATCGGAAGAATGCTCCTGAGACCCTCAAATATTTGTCCTACCAGACGTTCAGTTGATTTCTTCCATTCTTCCAGAAAATAACATCTGTAAATAACATCTCGTCGCGTTGTTGATTTCTCTCTTGGTGTTGTTCAAAAGAAGGATCGAAGGATCTTTGTTCAGCTGCAATGTGCAATAGATTGGCATGACCAGAAGAGAGTTTTCGTGATGAACAGAAAGATTTGCATTATTCCCGGTAAACCTAATGCAAAGGTTATATTGCTTAAACACCAAAGCTAATAGATTTAAAAAAATAATTAAACATGAAGTAAAAGATGTTCCCTTTCAAAGGAACTTCAAACTGCGTCCTCTAGGGGTCGCTATGGGGGAACGCCTTCAGCGTGACCAGTGTATAAAGCATACATCTAAAAACGACAATAACATTGGCCGGCGACAGCATATGATGTCATTACCCTGCGCGATCACAGTATAGAAGGGCGCCGGGATAACACTTCATCCTCTTCTTCATCTTCACAGACCGTTTGTTTATGTTAGTGTTAAGCTAAACATGACTAGGAGTGCATGTTTTCTCGTCAGAGGCTTTGCTCCAATACCTGCAGTTCCAATACTTCTGTGTATGTGGTGAAGAGCAAGCACGTTCAGCTCTCGAGGGAGTTGGATGCGCTCTGCATTTATTGCTTATTTCTTGTGAGGCATGAATTAAATGCGCTCGTCTCACGAGGAGATGACTTGTGCTCATCGTGATGCATTCGCGGGACTACTGAGGGGGAGGTGAGTACTTCACCATTTATCCAAGTTGGTAGATAGTGTTTGCATGAGTGCGTTCGCCTCTCGCGGGAATAATGACGTGACATGTGGCCAAGTATGGTTACCCATACTAGGAATTAGTGCTCTGCATTTATCCCATCCTAAGTGCACACACTCAGCAGTGAACACACACACACACACACACCGTGCACACACACCCGGAGTTGTTCAATTCTATCCAAGAAGGATCTTTGTTCAGCTGCAATGTGCAATAGATTGGCATGACCAGAAGAGAGTTTTCGTGATGAACAGAAAGATTTGCATTATTCCCGGTAAACCTAATGCAAAGGTTATATTGCTTAAACACCAAAGCTAATAGATTTAAAAAAATAATTAAACATGAAGTAAAAGATGTTCCCTTTCAAAGGAACTTCAAACTGCGTCCTCTAGGGGTCGCTATGGGGGAACGCCTTCAGCGTGACCAGTGTATAAAGCATACATCTAAAAACGACAATAACATTGGCCGGCGACAGCATATGATGTCATTACCCTGCGCGATCACAGTATAGAAGGGCGCCGGGATAACACTTCATCCTCTTCTTCATCTTCACAGACCGTTTGTTTATGTTAGTGTTAAGCTAAACATGACTAGGAGTGCATGTTTTCTCGTCAGAGGCTTTGCTCCAATACCTGCAGTTCCAATACTTCTGTGTATGTGGTGAAGAGCAAGCACGTTCAGCTCTCGAGGGAGTTGGATGCGCTCTGCATTTATTGCTTATTTCTTGTGAGGCATGAATTAAATGCGCTCGTCTCACGAGGAGATGACTTGTGCTCATCGTGATGCATTCGCGGGACTACTGAGGGGGAGGTGAGTACTTCACCATTTATCCAAGTTGGTAGATAGTGTTTGCATGAGTGCGTTCGCCTCTCGCGGGAATAATGACGTGACATGTGGCCAAGTATGGTTACCCATACTAGGAATTAGTGCTCTGCATTTATCCCATCCTAAGTGCACACACTCAGCAGTGAACACACACACACACACACACCGTGTACACACACCCGGAGCAGTCATTTATGCTGCAGCACCCAGGGAGCAGTTGGGGGTTCCGTGCCTTGCTCAAGGGCACCTCAGTCGTGGTATTGAAGGTGGAAGAGAGCGCTGCACATTCACTACCCCCACCTACAATTCCTGCCGGACCAGAGACTCGAACTCGCAACCTTAGGGTTATGAGTCCAACTCTCTAACCATTAGGCCACGACTTCCCCACCAGTTGCATAGCGACGCATTCACGCCAGCGGTTTCCGTTTTCTCGCTTGATTTCTGAGGTAATCTAGCGTTTGGGCGGGAGCTGCGCGTTGCTGAATGCTGAATTCAGCAAGCTGAATGCATGCTGCGCGTTGCTGTTGCAGTGAGAACATGGAAAGGACCTGACGGGAAATTTCTCCCTATCAGTAATTAATTTTTGATTTTAGTAAGTATAGTGTGTATCTGTCTGCAGTTGTTGGACAGATGATTTATATCATGTCCTTCTCAAATAACCACATTATACTGCACTCCGGCTTGAAGTTAACCCCTCCTGCCCCACGTATGATGAGCTGTTTGAGGTTATGGATGGCACCAAGGCGAGGCTTGACTTGCCATGGAAGCAGGCCAAGAAAGTGACGCATCGAGGCTGCCTCAATTAGTGTTTTCTTTCTAGCCATAGCCCTTCCAGCTCAGGTGAGCCTTCCATTCCTTCCCGATCTTCATGTGGAGATCGAGAAGGCTTGGAAAAATCAATTCTTGTCCCGCATCCACAGATTCCAGCATACTAGTTATGCCAACATCGAGGGGATGCGTGAGAATGGTTATGAAAAGATGCCCCTTTCCCTGCTGTCCAAACCCCTTCAAAAAAGGGATACTTCTCGTTTGACTGTCAGGTCATACGGGGCAGCAGGTCAGGCTGCAGCCTCGTTGCACACCAAGGTGGTGCTTCCGGCTTATCAGGCTGAACTACTGAAAGTGGATAAAGGCAGGGTCTATCCCTGATGAGGTGGCTGAGTTGCGTTGCACGAAGCAGGCCGCCACTGCCATTGGCAGATCCATGGTGGGTTTAGTGGGGGGGGGGGGGGGTTTGACCTTGTGGGGGGGGGGGGGGGGGATTTGACCTTGCTAAAAAAAGCTTTAACCCCCCTGATGGACATCAAAACTAGATGTAGAGGGGGTCTGATAGAAAGAAGTCTAGCCTACGCATAATATGGAGATTTACTTGTAAATTTTAATATGCAATTCTATAGCCCTAACTGATTTTAAAATATAATTTTGGCCGCTCCTGAAATGGGTCGTATTGGCATTATCGGAGCGGTTGAAGAACACTCTCATTCAAAGACGTGCATTTATTGCTTGGACGAAGCAAGAACACCTAAAATACATGTATAGATTCAGTTGAGTGACAAAGTTTACCGTCTTCAACTTAATGCTGCTGAATTGAATTTATGAACCAAACTATTTGCTAAAATAACCATAATATTAACAGCACCACTGGGTGAAATACAAGCGCGCAGTTCTGTCAGTCAGATGCGCGTGAAAGCTGCATGTGTTACTATAACAAACACTGCGTGTTTTCTTTCAGAATCATCATTGGCTAGTAGAAAGACAAAAATAGGTTACATAAAAGTTTTCACCTAAAAATGAAGATAAGGTAAAGGTGTGAATAATTACATTTTAGACACATTGTCATTAATTTCACCAATGAAAATAAAGCCCCAGGAGAACTGTTGTGTGTCTTAGATCAACACACAGCGGTGTTTCATTAATGAATCCACATTTTTAAATGAATCGAGTGAATCAATGATTCAGTGAACCATTCATAAAGGCCTATAGGGGTTCATGCCCACTCCACCCGCGGGCTCCCGTCCTCATGGGCGTGGGCAAATGGCATATCTATTCAGGACATTTGCATGGCGGCAGGCTGGTCATTACCCAACACTTCCGCAAGGTTTTATAACCTAGATGTGTTGTCGCTTGCCTCACATGTGCTGTCAGTGCGAGCGGCACACCCACCTTCTCAGCCTCAGTTATGAGCGGAGCTGCATGCCTAAGTGGTTTCGACCAGGTCGTATACACCCCTGTGCTGACGCGCCACCAATCCAATACTGCTCTCTTATCACCTCATCACATTAGAGACCTGTGCGGGACGGATCTTTCAGTGCCGCTCCCGCCCTCTCCCGCAAGACTCTGTCCCGCGCCCGCCCGCTCCCGCAGAAATATATCTTATCTGGTCCCGCTCCCGCCCGCATAATAGTAATCTATATAGATTTGTTTTCAGTACATCGAAGAAATGTACATGAAATGGTTCTTTAATATCTCCTAAGCTCCACAACATTCCAGCATATACTCTCCCGATAAAATATTTGTTATTTAGGCTAAGCATCAACATTCACAATCACAAACCACTGTTATTTTTAACAGAAAAGCAAGCATGGGCTGCTGCGTGCATGGTTTGGCATGGCAGAATGCGAGCAGCGTGCTTCCTTTATTATCACTAAAAGCTGACATCTCAGTTAATCGCGATCTCATAAAGCTCTGTTATAACACATTAAATATATGCACAATGAATATTTCAGTGTCTACACTTCGTGTGTTAAAATGAGAGGATTCCAGAGTACGCAATTTCAGCACTGCGGTGAGTAGATTCTAACTTAATCACCTCTGATTGGGCATTGCGTTCCAGAAATCAACAGCTGAGTCTGAGATTGGCTACATTGCGCAACCTTTTAAACACGTGTTATAAATAGAAACTATGCCTAGCTGGCGCATGTCAATCATTTTAATGTTAATATTAGTTGTTCTTTTTGCTTCTGTGCAACAGATAAATAACAATGTATATGTTTTAGACACTTTATGTTTAGATAATTTCTATTTTGCGGGAGTCCCACGAATCATTTTATTCTCCCGCATCCCGCACTCGCCCATCAAGAGTTGTCCCGCGCCGCACCCTGTTATGTTGGGTCCTGCGGGAGTGCAGGTCTCTACATTACATTGTTATGATATAGTTCATCACGCCTTTTAGGACTTGATCACCATCATACTCTTATTTGAGCACTGGTTCAGCTGTTGCATCACAACCACTGATTTATATAATGTTCTCAAATATAGATCAGTGATCACAACACACAATTTCGTTGAAATTAAACTTCAACTGGTCTATATATGAGATGGCGCTGGCACTTCATATTCTCTGTTTTACCAGCGTTAATTCTGCCCTTGGTGTGACTAGACGAAACTAGACGATGCCGCGCCAATATCATTGCCGCTCTCATTACGGTTCCGTATGTAAAACTTGACATACTTAGTCGAGCCAGGCTCCATCGCTGTGACATGGCAGGATTTTATACGTTCCCATAGCAATGTAGAGTGACCGAATCGAAAGGGATCGCTCTCGGTTACTCTCGTAACCTCGGTTCCCTGAGATGAGGGAATGAGACATTGCTCTTATTGCCGTGTCACCTAGCTCAGGATCTTAGAATGCCAAGTTGATTCTGAATGGATGACGTACAAGCGCTGCTTTATATAGAGTGGGAGCCCCTCATATTTCGCACGCTTGAACGCCATTGGCCAATATCACTGGCGTAATTCAATAAGGCTTCAGTAGTATTTGGAGGAAAGGGTAATTTCCATAGCAATGTCTCGTTCCCTCATCTCAGGGAACCGAGGTTACGTGAGTAACCAAGAGCGTTTTTCTTTGCTAAAGTAAGGAAACTTTGCTTCCTTTGATCCTGTAAACAAACGTTGGTTTTCACGAGACTCACCGGCGCATGCGTAACACTGAACTCATACGTCATCCTCCCGGAGCTGCTTCCGTGTACAACAGTGAGCGCAAGCTACTTTAAAGTGATTATTATGTTTTGAATATGGATATTTTTCTTACAAAAACGCATCGATTCGCTACAGGAGGCCTTTGTTCACCCCCTCCCCCGGAGCCATGTGAGACACTCTTTTTTTAATGGATGGGCGCTTTTTATTTAACTTATTTTGGACTGATGCATGCAACAACCGCTGAGTGGCATTAAACAGCTTGAAAGATCAAATACAATTTTTAATATAACTCCGACTAGATTCGTCCAAAAGAAGAAAGTAATTTACACCTAGGATGACTTACCTCCACCTACTGGTGGTTTATTATGTTTAAAATTATTTGTATTTTCATGAATGTATTTAAAACTTTAAACTCATAACATAACTTATTGCAGTTATTTTGTAGTGTAAATTATTTAATCTGACTGGTAACAGTCCTGCAGTGTATATTGAATTTATTGATCAATTGTAATAATGTGACATGAAAGATGATGCATACATTTAAAAATGTTACAAAATAAGCCTTTGTAAAGGTAAATAAAAACATGCCGATTTAAGCATGTAAAAGCTTATAGAAAATATTGCCTCTGAATGAACTGTTTACACCACCAAAAATCTTGGTGATGCGGTACTTTTGTGGGGATATTTTGTATGGAATATTGTCTGCTGATATGAAAAGTTCACTGTATATCGTAGTAATAAATAGAATTTATGACAGTGATGATACTTTGTTTTCTTTTTACATTAAACACATTAAATATTACATGTCTGTAACATAATGTGTATTTCCATTACAGGTTTAGGTCTTAAACTTCATATAAGGTGGTTTTAAAAAGGTCTTAATGTCTTTATTAAAATTTATCAAATTTAACTTGTTCATATCTGTCGAAACCCTAAATAA